TAGGGGGTAAAGTAAAGTGAGGGCTGGAAGAGGAAATTTCTTGTAAATCAAATTAAGGTAAGGTTCTTTGAAAAACTTGTTAGAATGTTTAAGTTTTCTTGAAGTCCAGATGGTAGAAAACCTGATTACCTCTGCATAAGCGACTTGGGTGAATTTCCATATCCAAAGACTAGAAGAAGGTAGAAAGTTTGAGTGGTTATTTAGAAAAGGAATAGAAGCTGAATGTGAGGTAGAGTGATAAGATTTGGGTTTTCCTCAGTCTGGCAGTGAGAGAGACTGCAGTAACAGCCATTTGTTTTTATTAATGAGCCAGTTGTTTAATGACTTTTGACTTCGAGAGGAATTTCTCACCCTGGTGCAGTACTTGCTTGTCAGGGCCAGGTAACGCCTTCTGAGGCTGAGGCAGTCCAATTGTAAGCTGAAGGTTGCTCAGAATATTTTGATATTACAATTATACAAAAAAGGGAGGTCATAACATAAGTTAGCATGGAAAGTCTGATTTTTCAGAGCATTTCCCCTCCATCCGTATCATGTCTGTCGATAGAGGTTGCATAGCTTGTGTCAGAAAAGATATGATTTTTGAGTGACAAAGTGATGTGGAGTTATTAGAGACACGGTTAGCCAGGAATTTTGTTTTTGTTTGTCAATCACGTCTAAATTTTTAGTCCCACCTCTCCCACTTTCTTGCCTGCCCACTGAGGACATTGCTTTTCTTCAACAGCCTAAATGAACAGCCATGGCTGTCATTCCCTTCTCCCATTTGACTCTATGTTTTTATCCTTTTATTTCAGTGGTATCTGAGGAGAAATTCGAGACAAAGGCCTGGTCTAGAATCAGAAACCTTGTTTTAGTATCTAGTTGTTCCAGTATCTAGCACCCAGGTTGATGGTAGTTGTGGCTCATTCATCAAGCTCAGTGGAGCTGAAGAGCTACTTATTAAATATCAAGGTTATGTCACAAACACAGAGCTTGAGTTTAATCTCAGAAGTCTGACTTCAAGGGTCTTGGCCTCAGAGGTGAGGAGGGAGGCTGGTAAACTGAGGAAGAAAACCAATATTAAATAATAAAAATCTAATGGAGCTAATTTAAAGCTCTAATTCGCTTAATAGTAAAAGAACTGTGAATCGGGGAGCCTTTCATATAACAAGCAGAAAACAGCCCTGGAAATCATACAGAATGAAAGGTTGTGAAAGGCAGAAAAGGAACAACACAAGGGAAGAGTGATTACTTTCAGGCTTAGGTAACCTACCTACTGGGGAAAAGGTGTGGCAGGTTATCTCATCTTCTCTTGGGGATTGGGAAAAGTTACTTCACTATGCATACCAGAAAATTCAACACTGACCAGTTAGGACCACATTCCTAGAGAGGCTGACACCTCAGGGAGTTCTTGAAGCCATAGCTAGGTTAAGTGTTAAGTCTTGGAGGGCTTAGCCCACTTGGGGCCTGTCCTTTGCTTTTGAACCCCAAGGTACTTCAAGAAAGAACCAGCAGAAAGAACTGCCTTTACCTGGATTGGGAATTTTCAGCTGGGGAGCTCTCTGGTCACCTGAAGAAGGAAGCTTATGGCAAAAACAGACTCCCATGGCTAAAAGTTCAAGGCCTTACTCAGCTCCAGGCTGGTGAGAAGCCCCAACCTCTCTCAGGATTACACACAAGTGCTTTTTCACCTAGCTCAGACCACAGTCTCTAGTACCAATTTGTACCTCATGTTTCTTTCCTTGACTTTTTCTAACTCTTGCCCAATCGTCTCAGAAAATCCTTTTCATCCCATTATTCCTTTTTTCATGTCATCTGTGCACCCACATAACCCTAATCACAGCTGTATTTTAAAATTTATTTATTTATACATACTAGAACTGGTATGAAGAGGTGTGGGGGATGAGAGGATTACCAGAGACAGAGTGGGGAACAGGACAGGCAGACTGACTGAAATACACTGTGAGGGGAGCAGCAGGCGAGACAGGAGAGGTCTGCTGTGCCATGTGGGTCAGCTCCCTGGCTGGGGATGGAACTCCCATGCAGTGGCTGCGGATAGCTTCATAGTGCTGTGCTTTAACCTTTTTGCCTTCAGGGAGGGTCCATAGCTGTTAAGCACAGAATAATGGCAACCAAATTCTTGCTTGTATCAAGGCAAAAAGGTAGATTACAAGTCTGAAGTAAAATGGAATTAGAGTCATTTCTATTAAGTTATAGAGATCCTGAAAATGACCAGAATTCCTTCTGGGTTTTCCACCAGAGCACAATGCTCCTCTGCTTTCCTGTATTAAATGTCATCCTCTAGAAGCCCAAATGAAGCGTTTGTCCACTCAACCATTCACTGAAGAGGGTCCCTATTTGTCAGACACTGTGTTAGGCCCTGAATATAGAGAAGACACATGCGGCCCTGTCCCCCTGAAGCTTTCAGTTTAACATACTAACAAATGTAGGTGACAGCTGAAACCACGTCCCCTCATACAGCTACATTTAACCATGACTCTTCCACTCTCTTCACTCGCAGAGGTAGTATTCCAAGAGACTTCTAACCAGGAAGATGAAGCTGCAAATTAACTTTTATTGTTTATTCAAGGAACTTACTAAAAAAGCCATCAACTCTTAAATAAAATAAAAGCATCAACTGACATTTGTACTCAAGACTATTTGAACCCTCACCTCAAAATCATGCATGTTCATTCTAAATTACAAATCTCTGATCCAGTTAATTTTCAGGATCTAATTGGTTTTATTGAACAATTCATGAACCAGGCAGCACCCCATCTAGTAATCAGAAAGATACTCAGAAAAATTTGCAAAAATGAAAGGGAAGAGGGCATAAGCTGACTGAATAATTCCATATTGACTAGATAAGACTATATTCCTGGAGGGGTTGAAACCAGTTAGACTATATACCCGGTCCTGGGGGCTTAGCATGGGGCCTTTATTTTGGGACTGTGGTTTACTGTATAACAGCTCTTACCCAACTCCAATCAACCCCTACTCCTACCCCAGCATTGAAAGACCTGCCTTAAAACAGACTTCAAAGTCTTGATACATAGTACGGCCTTTCTTATCTCCCTGTGAGGCATTTTTCAGACTGTCAAGGGTAAGCAATAAATTCTGTTCTGTCTTATCAACATGATGTTCTAGTGGTATTTGGATATTTGTCAGCATTTAACAGGTGCTGGGGAAACAGTAGTGGATGATGTCTTAACCCAGTTTACAATCTAGAGACAGACAATAGGCAGATAAGCCAGGAATGTGATCTTATATTCTACAGTGTCTAGGGAGAGTGTAGCCAAATACATACTAAAATTGTGATGACTAAGAAAGAAATAAAGGGCACCAGAACAGAGAATAAGGGCAATGAGAGTCCTAATTGTGAACCAGGATTTGAAAAACTCTTCTTCTTTTTTTAAATTTATGCATACAAAAGCTGGGGTGTAGGCCAAAGGTGCAGGGGGTAAGAGAATTCACCAGAAGCAGAGTGGGAAGAAGAACAGGCAGATCAGCTGAAATACACTGCTGAGGGGAACAGTGGGTGGCACAGGAGAGGTCTGCTGTGCCCTGTGGGTCACCTCCCTGGCCTGGATCAAACTTGTGCTGCAGTGGCCACAGACAGCTTCATAGTGCTGAGATTTAGCCCCTTTTGCCACCATGGAATTCCTGGGAAACTCTCTTTAAAGTGACTTAAAGCTGGGGCTAGGGGTGGACTGAGTGTTGCAAATAGGAACAAGAGCTGGGTGGGAGGGGCACCCTGGTGGCACAGGGGTTAAAGACAGTGAAATGAAGCTGTCACCAGCCACTGCACGACAAGTTTGATCCCTAGCCAGCCAGCAAGGTAACCTTCATAGTTCAGCAGACCTCTTCTGTCTCCCCTCAGCGGTGTATTTCAGTAGGCCTGCCTGCTCTGCTCCCCACTCTGTCTCTGGTGAATCCTCTCATCCTCCATCCTTCCCTGGTCCTCAGGCCTGCACCCCAGTTCTTCTATGCATAAATAAATAAATTTTTAAATAATGGGAAAAAAAAAAAGAAAAAAGAGCCACGGAAACCCTGAAGCAAGGGAACAGTTAAGCAGATTCCATAATAGAAAAGACACCTCCCAAGACTGACGTGGGGGCAGGCATGGGGCTAAGCAGAGGCCGTAGGCTGGAGTCTCTGCCCTGACTTACTCCTTAGCATAACTTTTCTCCTTTTAATTATTACACCTGCAGCAAGATTGTTTTCTAGTGTTTTTCACTGCAAATGTGCAAATGAACATCACAGTATAAACTTCTGATGGTCTTACCGTTTGCAAAAGCATCTACCTGGCAAAAAGGGCCCAGCTTTTCCCTAATTCTTTTGAAGGGCTGGAGTGACTCCACCTGAGGGGTATTCAGAAGTGTCCAGAGGAATGGATTTGGGGAACCCCCTGAGGGGGTGTGTCTGGCACATGGCCAGGAGAGATCTGCCCTCTTTAGCAGCAGGACTCTCAAGTTTAAATCAAGTCCCAAAGGATTTGCTGAAAAAACTGAAAGCATGACCCCAGGACGGTGATGTTCTCAGGGTCTTTTCCAGTTTCTTACAGGAAAGCGAGTGCAGCTGAGAAAAACCCTAATGTTGACGAAGGTGGGGAGTAAAAGCAGTCTGGGGTGGTGATCGTGCTTCAGAGTGCTACATGACAACCCCACTGTCTCTGGAGAGTTTCCAGGTCACCTGTAGGGTCCCGGAATCTCGCCAGTTCACCACCGCACAGGCCTGGGTGGAGTTTCTGCTCATTTGTGTTTCGCTCGCTCTCGGGCCTGGGCTGGGAGAACCCTCCGCGACACCCGGATCTCCGCCGGCTTCAAGTTGACACACCCGGCGCCCGCTCGTGCACGCCGGGCGCTGAGGGCTCTCCGCTCCGAGCCGCTTGGCGCGCCCAAGCCGCGGGCGCTGGGCTCGGAGTTTAATCACACAAACAGTGTCCGGCTTCCTGTCCTCATCCCCCTCCCGCCGCGTTTCCCTTGCCCCTCCCTCTCCCCAGCCCGCTCCGCCCGCCCGTCCCCCTCCCCCGATCCCTCGGGTCCCGGGATGGGGGGGCGGTGAGGCAGGCACAGCCCCCCGCCCCCATGGCCGCCCGTCGGAGCCAGAGGCGGAGGGGGCGCCGGGGGGAGCCGGGCACCGCCCTGCTGGCCCCGCTCGTGCTGGGCCTGGGCCTGGCGCTGGCCTGTCTTGGCCTCTTGCTGGCCGTGGTCAGCCTGGGGAACCGGGCATCGCTGTCTGCCCAGGTGAGGCCCTGCTGCACACCCCTCCCTGGTCAGCTGAGGAACAGTCCGCTGAGCAGCTGATGGGCCGGGTGGGCTGAGGGCAAGGGCCCAGGAAGATGGGTGGAGGGTGAGAAGTCAGGTGGAGAAGGACTGGGTGACGCTGCCTCCTTCCCAGCAGGAGCCTTCCCAGGGGGAGCTGGTGGCAGAGGAGGACCAGGACCTGCTGGTGAGTGGGTATGGGTGCTGTCTGCAGGTTGTTGGGAGGTGAGTGTGCACTGAGGATGAAGGGTCTGCTCTGCCTGTGCCAGCTGTGTCAGGGATGTGTGCACCAGTGCAGGGTATGGGAGGGACAGTGACAACTGTGTGTGAGGGCTTCATGTCACCTGAGCACAAACTGTTTATTTATTGGCTGTGGCTGAGATGGGAGGACGAGCTACAGGCGCCTGCCATGGTAGAGGCATGCTGGTTGTGTGTGCAGGGTGTGGACCCATTGTGCATGCTCACTGGCTACTGGCATGCCCAGCGTGCCCATGGAGCACAGGGTCTGTGCTGGTTCTGTGTGTGTTGGGGAGTAATGGGAGAGGGGTGTGTGTGTGAAGATGTGGCTGGGCTCCTGGAGGGAGTGAAGACTGGGGCCTGTCCCCAGGACCTTGCCTCCGCCCCTTGGCCCCAGAAACACTTGGCTGAGGAGCTGAGTCCCTCCTTAAGAGATCTGTGCTAGTTGCTGACTGTGCCTGTTCTGAACCCCCTCAAGCCACCCCCACCCCGCCACCCTGTCAGTCTCAGTTTCTGTCTCTGGGAATCCCTGGCAAGACCCTGGTTAAGTCCTGCCCTTAATCCCCCTAGGGACTGAATCTGCAGCCAGAGAAAAGCCAGGATCCCATGTCTTTTCTGAAACGACTGGCTCGGCCCCGCAGGAGTGGTGAGCATCCTTTGGTCCCCACCTAGGGAATAATAACAGTGGCTGGTTTGTGATGGCTTCTAGATTCATCATTGTTTTGTTCATGGTAACAGCCCCTGAAGCAGGCAGAACAAAACCATCATCCTCATGTGTGAATACAGAAAGTGAGGTACAGAGCGTGAAGGGGGTTCAGAGTCATACAGCTAGCCAGCTGAGACTTAAGTCTAGAACTCTGACCCTCCCTCTGAAGTGCCTTGCATCATATGGGTCTGCTTCTCACCTTAGGCCCTATCCCACATACAAAGGAGGGATAGGCAGAGGTTAGGAGAACACCTGAGGTCCTGATGGAGGTGAGGTAGGGGAGTCAGAGATCTAGGCTCCAAAGACTTAAGAGTGGGGTGACCATGTGACCACATATAGAGGTTTGCACGAGATTGTTCTTGCTTACACCTGTTAACCTCAGTGTGACTATTAATAGCACCCCTTATGCTCTTAGAAGTAGCCCTGTCAGTTTGGATGATCAATTATATAGTCATTCTACTTATGAAGGAAGACAAAGCCTGAGAATCAGGCTGGAATCTGGACAAGAAAAAAGATGCCAGGATTCTCAGGGGAATAGGACTGAGGAAATGGCTTCTGGATCTCCAGATGTATGAAGGGCTGCTTTGCCCATCTGTATTTCCTTGATTCTCAGCATCTAAAGGCCGGAAACCCCGGGCTCGCAGAGTGATTGCAGCCCACTATGAAGGTGGGTGATGGATGAGTTGTGCCCAGGGAGGAGAGGGACGGAGGGGGAGGGCAGGGCTCACCAATGCATTCCTGTGTCTTACAGTTCACCCCCAGCCGGGACAGGATGGCGCGCAGGCCGGTGAGACCCGTCCCCACCTCTGAGCTCTCCCCTCACCCTCACAGCACTAGCTTTCTGGAAAAGGAGCCCCTCAGAATCTTTGCTTCCTCACTCTCCTTCCCACCTTCAACTGTGGAACCCTGAAGCCAGTTCACAAAAGTCTTCAGGACTTGGTTCTCTCAATTCCCAAACCTGTGCGTTATAACTCAGGCACCAGACCAAGGAAAACTTCTGCCCCTTCCTGGAACCCAGGCAGAACCAGCCCCGCCCCTGCCCCCAACCAAACCACAGGCCCCAGCTTCTCCTTAGTCCTCACTGTGCCCAAGAACACAAGGACTTTGACTCCTTCCTCTTCTTCCTCTTCCTATTCCAGGAGGTTTCATTGCTCTGATCATTTTCCTCAGAATGTTTCTATCTCTGCACTTATTTTCCATCCCTACACCACCCCTTCCTCATTCAATATCTAAAACCCAGCCTCCAGCCCTTTCCCCATTCCATGTTCTTCCCACTCACTACTCTGACCCAGTGTCGTCAAGCAAAGCTCCCCTAAGCTGCATTTTCATTATTCTGTTGCTTTGGTCTTGATTTCCAGTTCCTTCATGGTCCAGATGAAATCTCTCTTTCTTGCCCACTCTGTGTGTTCTCTATACTTGTTGGTTAACACTCCTCCCCACCAGCATGTCTCTTCTGGACTTGGCATATACTGTTCCCACATCTGTAATGTCCTTCCCTGAGACAGGCCAGGAAGCAAGACATGAGGGTGATGTGGCCTAAGAGGTTGGCAGCCAAGGTGGATAAATGTAGATGAATTCAGCATATGGCCTGGAGATAGGGCTTGCTTGTGGGTGGGTTGTGCAAGATACGGGAAGGGGGGAATCAGAAAAGACTTCTCGGTTTTTTGTTTTTTGTTTTTTTTTTTAAAGATTTATTTGTACATACAGAACTGGGGTACAGGCCAGAGGCTCAGGGGTGGCGAGAGGCTTCACCAGAGACAGAGTGAGGAGCAGAACAGGCAGATCGACGAAGTACTCTGCTGAGGGGAGCAGCGGGCGGGTCAGGAGAGGTCTGCCACGCCATGTGGTCACCTCCGGGGCAGGCGGGTATCGAACTCATGCAGAAGTGGTTTCAACTTCTTAGTGCAGTGCTTTAACCTGCTGCGCCACAAGGGAGGGCCAGACTTCTCGGTTTTTAACTTGAGCATCTTTGGGAAAAGGATGTTGTTTACTAAGATGGGGTTGACTAAGGAAGAAATAGGTAGGAAGGTATGTAAATTAATAATTAGATTTGAGATCTATTAATAAGCAAGTGAATAAATAACAATAAACAAGTGAGTTCCATGAATAGACGGCCAGATCAGTAGATGTCGTAGACTAGGTCAGATTAGGGCAGGAGGTATGAAATCAGGATGGCATCAACAGTTACAGGATAACATGCCAGGGGAAAGAAGGGCCGAGAGCTTCTGCACATGTGGAAGTAGAGAAGAGAGGGGAAGAAACAGGGTGTGTGGGGGGTAGTCTACTGGAGCATAAGGAAGAAAGTTTCAAGGAGGATGTGGCTGTCTCTTAACTGTGGCTCAGGGGTCACATGAGATGAGAACAGAGAAATAACCCATGGGTTTGGTAACATTAAAAGGCAACTGGTGACCTTGATGAGGGTGGTTTCAGTGGAGTATTTAGCATGGAAATCAGTGTGGATTGGTTAAAGAGAGAATGGGTATTGGGAGACAGTGATAGCTTTCCATAAGTTACTCTGGTAACTTACTCTGCTATGGCCATAGCAGAGAAATGGGCCCAGTGGTGGAGAAGGGTGTGGATCAAGGCAAAGTTCAGTCCTTTTAGTGGTAAGTAATACTCTAAGAATCTTGGCTAACAGTTACTGAGTTCTAAAAGGAAGATATTCTGATCATCTACATTTTACAGATGGAAGTCTCCTGTCCCAAGGTCATGACAATATTAAGTGGTAGAGCCAGAATTTGAACCCAGCTTACGTACTTCTGTAATGGACATGACCTGTGTAAGAGGAGATTGTTGGTGCCGGGGTGAAGGGGACCTGCAGGACAACATGCAAGAACATGGGAGGGGATGCTTTTCAGAGGAACAGAAAGTTCCATTCCATTCATGCATGAGGGTCAAAGAAACTATGAGGATCGGTCGGCTTGTAGCATAGGTTGAGGGAGATGAGGCACCCACTGTCTAGATCCTCTGGAGAACTAAAGTCTGGGGCAGGAGGTTCGAGGAAAGGAGATACAAAATCCCTATCTTGGTGAGTGCACAAGCAAGCTTAGTTGGGGTGGGGAGTGGGGGGAGTAGGATTGCCAGACAGTAAGGAATGTCCATTTGAGGTTTGTGATTATGAAGCTGAGTGATATCAAACAACCTTCCATTGTCCCAAGTAGGCCATGCCCTTTGGTCACAACCATCCTTTGCTCAAGCTGGTTCTGTAGCTAGGAATGCCCTCTCTCCTCTCCTCTTACTCTTTATATGGCAGAGCTGCCTTCCCCTATGGACCATTCACTCTAGTGGTTGCCATGATATTTATTCATTCACTCAACAAACATGCAAACAAACCTGTTATCTGCAAAGACCAGGCCAGGTGCCCACAGTGAGTAATACCCAGATTTGTTTTCAAGGAATCAGTGTTTAAGAGAGGAGACAAGCATATTAATGTGTAAATTACAGTGTACCATGACAAGAACAATAATGAAAGGAGCCAGAGGCACATGCTTGCAAAGAGGAAGACAAACATTTTATATGGAGTCAGGGACTCCTTCCCAAGAAGGCGTGGCTTCCCTGGACCTTGAGGCACAAGTATAAGATGGATGAGGTTCAGATAGAAGGAATCACTTGTGCAAAAGTTGTGAGTGTGCGGAGTCTTATGGAGGCTGGAGGCCCAGAGAAGCTCACTGTTGGCTGAAGGATAAAGTGCTAGAGGAGCAGGATAGGAATGGAGAATATGGATGCCACGTCACATGAAGTCTGGAAGCTATTCTGAGCTCGAAGCAGGAGAAGCAGGATCACAGCTGCATTTTAGAAACATCTCTTTGTGGCTGTGTGTAGGAAATAAACTGGAATAGGCAAGATTGGAAACAGGAAGTCAAACAGCGAGAAAGGAGGCCAAGAGGAGTGCTAGTGAGAAATGGCGGAGGCCACCCTGGGGAGGGAGACACAATGAGCTATTTAGGCAGCAGAATTGCTAGGAATTGGTGATCAGTGAATAAGGTTGGTCGAGCAGACGGAGGCTGGGATAGCCAATAAGAGTTAGAACCTTGAGCGAAATGTGGAATACATGTTAACAGAGTGAGTTTGGGGGATGGGCCAAGCTCAATTTTGGTCTAGACGAGTCTGATGTGCCCAGGCTGTTCTGATGGTGGCAGTTAAGAATAAGGCAATGCAGAAAACATTAAGGCCAGAGACTTAGATGGCAGTCTGCAGGGTGTAGGCTGTGGGAATAGGTGGGAATAAAAATCTCATTTTCCTGAGACAGTACCAAGGACAGAGTCCAGGGCTGGCGGAAGATGAGGGGCTGGTGCAGGCAATCTTTCTGACACCACCAGTGAGGCCTGAGGGAACCCAAACAAAAAGAGCTGTGACTTGGCTAAGTTGGCCTCCTTCCTGCTATCTTCCTACCCATGTTTGCCAGAGCAGGCCAGCTCCGGGGCCAGAGATGCAGTGGTGAGTGCAACCATTGCCCTGTCCACTTGGGTGCATCAGATGGTCAAAGACACTTGTAAACAGCATGATATTCCATGTTGGTGACCACTGTGAAGGAAAAAGGGCTACGTGAAGAGATTAAGGGAAGCAGGGCTGGGGCTGGGGGACCAGTGAAGCTCTTTCTGAAGGATTGAGCCCTGACTGAGAGAAGGTGCCAGGCAGGGAGGAATTCCCAAGAGAGTTCTGGGAAAAAGCCTGCGGGGACAATGACCTTCATGTGTGGCAGGAACAGAAAGAAGGCCAGAGTGACTGGAGCCTTTAGAACTGGAGGAGTGTGTAGATCAGCAATGAAGTAGACTGGGCATGGTCCTTGGAGGACCTGGGAAGTCACTTGATCCTGTGCTTTGTTGGTTTATTGTTTATCTTCTATGCAATTTGCAATTCTTGAGCTGCTCTCTTTTTTGGGGGTGTGGGTGAGGCCGTAGTGGCTTTATTCAGAGACTTAGCATACCACACAATTGACCCATAGCTTGCCCTCTAGTCACAGAACTGTACAGCTGCCACTATAGCAATTTATATCACCACAAAAAGAAACCCGGTAGCCTCGTCACTACCCCCGTCTCTCTAAGAAGTAACTGCAAATCCACTTCCCTTCTCTTATTTGAACATTTCATAAAAATCCTATCCTATGGGGTCCTTTGGGATTGACTTCTCTCACTTCGCATGTTTTCATGGTGCATCCACATCAGAATGTGTGAGAACACTTCATTTCTTCATGTCAAACAGTATTTCCCACTGCCTTTATCTAGTCATCAGTTAATGGACATTTGGGTTCCATTTTATCCTTTTTAATTTTAACAATTCAAGTAACAATTCAAGTAGTGCATGTATACATTCTTGGAGTAAAGAGACGAACAATATAGACACAAAAGAAAAAACCACTCCCATGCTTCTTTAATCCTGCTCTTCTCCGTACAAGTAACTGGCAACCACTGGCTCTATCGTTCTGGTCATACATGCTGCATCTGGTCATACATTTCTTCAATCATTTCCTATTACACTCTGGGCTCCATCAGGTGTGGTTCTGCCCTGGCCCTAGGCCATCAGTATATCTTCCGGGTAAGGTGGGCCCCAGAGGTTTATCATCTCAATGGGGAGTGTGAGAGAGTCCTGTAAAGGGACTTTCCCCTCTCCTTCTGAATATCCACATTCAGGTTCAGACGGGACAGTGAGTGGCTGGGAGGAGACCAAAATCAACAGTTCCAATCCACTGCGCTATGACCGCCAGAGTGGGGAATTTATAGTCACACGGCCTGGGCTCTACTTCCTGTACTGTCAGGTAAGCTTCCTGGGTGAAATGGGACCCGAGGAAGAAGTGACTGGTTTAGGGGGTGGTAGCAAGCTAAATCCTGGAGAGGGGCGTGCTTGGGGTTTGGGCTGGGTAGAATCCTGGGGCTCTAAGGGAACTGGAGACAGAGGCAAGCAGAGGCCTGGACCCCTCCCCCCGACTCCCCAGGTGCACTTTGATGAGGGGAAGGCTGTCTACCTGAAGCTGGACTTGCTGGTGGATGACACGCTGGCCCTGCGCTGCTTGGAAGAGTTCTCAGCCACAGCAGCCAGTTCCCTGGGGCCCCAAATCAGGCTCTGCCAGGTGTCCGGGCTGTTGCCCCTGCGGCCAGGGTCTTCCCTGAAGATCCGCACCCTCCCCTGGACCCATCTCAAGGCTGCCCCCTTTCTCACTTACTTCGGACTCTTCCAAGTTCACTGAGGGCCCCTGGTCTCATGCTGGCTTTCCCAGGCTGACAACTCCCCACAACAGCTCTCCAGCACCCTGTCCCCTCTGCTCTGGGTTGCTCCTCCCCCGACTTGCCCCACCCTCTGTAGGCTGCCAGGGCTTCTTCACGTTTTCCATACCACATAAATATCCCCATTCTTGTCTGGTAACGCCCCCACCTCTGACTCTCCACTCACTAGCTCCCAAACCCGATCTTTCAACACCCCCATTAATCTCCCAATTTCCCTGCCCCCCCCACCCGCCACAGGACACTGCCCCCTGCCCCCCAGGACACTGTTTTACTGTATTGTGGGGTGAGGATGGGTCCTGAATACTGCTCTTCAGGCACTAAGTGGGACTGGATGCCAGAAACTGGGACTAGGCCAGGAGTTCCCGAATGTGAAGGGTAAGCGACTAAGACAAGCGCCTTCTCTGATAATTCCCTGTGGATTTTAAAAACAGATATTATTTTTATTATTTTTGTGACAAAATATTGATAAGTGGATATTAAAGAGAATAAGTCATTGTCTCTCTGTTTATTGGGGCTTAGGGGACATTCTCAGCATAACTGAGAGTTACAAGAAGGGATTCTGGGAATTGAGGAGTGGGGTGCAGGATATCTGGAATTCCAGGGTGACCTACAGGCTTGGGAATGGGAACCTACATGCCTTCAATTGCCCCCTTCAACCCCAAGGTGTGAACAGAGTGGAAAGGCAAATTGCCAGGGAGAAAAAAAAATCAATCCTCTGCCCAAGGTCCAGTGGAAGCAACCTCATTTACCTAGAGGCCCGCTTCCTCCTGTGGGGAATCCCTGGCGGGGAGGAGCCGAGGCCCTTCCTCTTGGCAGCTTTGGGACATTCAGCAGGTGCTGGCACAAGGCCTGACTAGGATGTGGGGTGGGAGCAGGCCTGGAAAGGGGCTTAGAGTCAGTAAACAGGACTCCAGGGCCCAGAAACATGGAAACCTGGGTCCCTGAGTCCAGGGGACAAATCCTACAGAGGTAGGGTGCTCGGGGCTGTCTCTTTCTCTCTTTGACCAGAGTCTTATGTAAGAGCGTTTCTCGGGAAACAGGAAGTCTTTCTTGCCAAGTTCAGCACAGGGAGTAGTGCAGGCCTTATTCCAACACACCCAGCCTGGCCTTAACCCCAGAGCAGTTTCTTGCTTCCTCGACCCTGGCTTTCCTCCCCACGGACTCCCCCTTCCCTTCTACCTTCAGTCACTCCTAGCAAATCTCCCCAGTGATCTTTCTCCCTGGCTGGAGTCAGAGGGTCTTCTGTCCTCATCCCTTGACCCTCAATACTGTCCTGCTTGCCTCTCCATCCCTCTTCCTGGCACTATACCCCAGAGCCAGCCAACCTTCCCTCCCCCTCTTCTGGGGCCGCCCCAGGGTTCCTGTGCTCTGGCCGCTCCTCCTGGGTGTCACTGAAAGCCCTGTCCTTCCTAGACAGACTGACATCAAATCATCCAGAGGTTGGAAGAAGGTGTGTGTATGTGGGGGAAAGGTGGGGGGTGGCTCAAGACCACACTGGTCCTGGAGCAGGGTGCCAGAAGCACCCTCAGTGCCCCTAGCTTGCTTTTCTCCTCCCTCTTTTTATTCTCAAGTTCCTTTTTATTTCTCCCTTGCGTAACACCCTTTTTCCCTTCTGCACCACTGCTCCCTGTCACCTTGCCACCCCACTCCTGAGGCCACAGCTATTGGGAGGGTCGTCAGCTCATGCCAGACTCACCTTCCTTGCTAGCCCCTAAAGGGACCCCGGGAGGTATGGGGGCTCCGGTCCGGGAGCCAGCACTCTCAGTTGCCTTCTGGTTGAGTTGGGGGGCAGCTCTGGGGGCTGTGGCTTGTGCCATGGCTCTGCTGACCCAACAAACAGAGCTGCAAACCTTAAGGAGAGAGGTGATCCGGCTGCAGAGGAGTGCCAGGCCCTCGGAGAAGGGGGCAGGATATCCATGGCCGAGCCTCCAGGAGCAGGTGAGTAGAGAAGAGTTTGGGAGAGAAGGATGGGTGTCAGGGTGGTCTCTGGGCCTCTGGGTTCTAGCTTTCTGATCTGCAAAGTGGGTACAAACGAGGGTCCTGGGTTTGGAGATCAAGGGAGCAGCCATTTCAGGAAAGGAAATTGTTAAAGATTAAATGCTTCTCGTGCTTAACAGATCCTGGAGGAGCGCCAGCACCAAGATTCAGGTTGCTGGGGAAAGGTGTAGGAGAGATGGGAGGCATTCCTGGGGCAGCGGTTGGGGGAGGAATGAGAAGAGAGGACTCCTGTCTCTTAGACTAACTCTAACCATCTTTCCACAAGCAGAGCTCTGATGTCCTGGAAGCCTGGGAAAATGGGGAGAGATCCCGAAGGAGGAGAGCAGTGCCCACCCGTAAACAGAAGAGTGAGGCCTCTGGGGTACCACAAGGGTGGGCGGTGACCAGTGAGGGAACCTAGCAGCGGACAACTTGGAGATTGTTGCCTGAGCTGGGGGTGGGGGGGTGAAGGGCTGACAAGTTGGGCAACTGGGACCGGTGAGCGCTGCTGAGATTTCCTCCTTCTCTCCTCAGAGAAGCACTCAGTTCTGCACCTTGTTCCTATTAACATCACCTCCAAGGGTGAGCACTATTTTATATAATGGCTTTTTGGGAGGGGCAAGATCTGGGAATTCTGGGGCTGGCAGCTGGGCCCTAAAGAATCTTAGGTGAAGTGTCTAAGTGTACTGGAATCCTGACTACCATATTCCTCACCTCCAGAGGACTTGGATGTGACAGAGGTGATGTGGCAACCAGCTCTCAGGCATGGGAGAGGCCTGGAGGCCCAAGGATATGTTGTTCGAGTCTGGGATGCTGGAATTTATCTGCTGTACAGCCAGGTAACCCCGAACGTGGGAGACCAGAAGCCTGTTTTCTATGACCCTGTATGCCTGGTACTACGGGTTTCTTTCTTTTTCTCTTTCTTTGGTATTGCGGGTTTCTAATCATTCTGTTCATACCAAACTTAGAAGACCCTTGTTTCCTTGGTTCCCATCTCTGGGGTCCCGAGGCCCCCCCAGAATTGAGCCACGCCATCCTGCTTTCTTCAACAACTCCTGCCTTTCCTGCCAGGTCCTGTTTCATGATGTGACTTTCACCATGGGTCAGTTGGTGTCTCGAGAGGGGCAGGGAAGGCAGGAGACTCTATTCCGATGTATACGAAGTATGCCTTCCAACCCAGACTGGGCCTATAACACCTGCTACAGTGCAGGTGAGAGTCATGTGGGCAGCAGAGGGAGGACATTTCTGACCAGGGGGAAGTGACGAGGGAGCTACCACAGCAGGTTGGCAGCCTGGGCATAAAGGCAGATCTGAGGAATGAAGGACAGAATACTTAGGTACTTTCAGGAAGCTGAAAAGTTGAGTTGGAGAAGACAGGGTGAGACATCAGAGTATCTGCATCACTGTGCTTCACTGAGCATCAATTTTCTCCCTTTTCTCAGGTGTCTTCCATTTACATCAAGGGGATATTCTGAGTGTGGTAATCCCCCGGGCGAGGGCAAAACTTAGCCTCTCTCCACATGGAACCTTCCTGGGGTTTGTGAAACTGTGATCATGGTATAAAACGTAGTCCTGAGCTTGAAAACAGCCAAGAACTGACTAGACAAAGGACAGGGAATACCTTCCAATGGAACCTAGGGTTTGACAGGTTATGACTCTTTGTTCCTCCCCTTTCCCATTCCACTCCCAGCCTTTGATTTCATTTATATTAAAGAAGTAGAGTATCTTGCTTATACCCCCTGTTCAGCCCCAAATTCTTAGGGAAGTGAGGAAGGAATGCCAGGCATTGTCTCCATGTGCTTTGGGTCTCCCTGGAATGCTTCCAGAACAGCACCACCATCTAGCGGCAGTTTGAGAGAATCATCCTACCTACAGGCCTAAGTCCTCGGGGCCTCCCCCTCCACTCAGGGAATTTCTGACACCCTCTGCCTCTCCCCTCTTCGGTCCCCCAACCCCCCCACAAAAGGCCTCATCCTCACTTCCTTCTCTCACCTACTGAGCCCCAGTTGTCATCATTATCTCCAGAGGTGTATTTATTACGCCCCCCATCGGCAGGAGGTGTTCAACGAGAGGACTGTCCCTTTGCTGTCACATTACACTTTGGGTTCGAAGTTTTGCCTTTATTGCTCTGCACCCTCCCTGGCATGGTAGGGCTACTCTTAAGTTCCTCAAAGTTGGGACCCGTCGCCGGGGAAGCCCTGGAAGAATCGGATGCCCTGGTGTTGGTCCTGCATCACTCTCTGCTCAAGCCTTGCTTAAAGTTAAATAAAGAGGAGAATAAATGATACCTCGGATCCATTTCCCCATTGCCTGGCCTCAGCCCCTTCCCTGGGTCGGAATCTCCCTGCCCTTCGGCTTTCCTCGGCGTGCTCCACCAGATCAAAGGATCACGACCCTGGGTTCCAGCCCGCGAGTGCGGAGAAAGTAGGGGACACGCAGTGGGGTGTGAAGTGGCCCGCGAAACGCAAGCGCAAAAGGGCCGGGAACCCGGACGCCTCCCAAGCATGGGTCAGGGAGTGTGCGCAAGCGCAGTCCCCCGTGACGGTGTTGGTGGAGGTGGGGCGGTGGGAGACTAGGGGCGGGGCGGTCCCGTCCCGTGGCGTTACGTTCTTGGGTGGGTGGGACTAGGCGCGTGTGGCTGCGCGGCGCTGTTCGCCGGGTGTGACGTACTAATAGTGCGCCGCCACCGCCGGTGGGCCTGGGGCTCGCGGGAGGGGAAGAGGAGGAGGTGGAGGAGGAGGAGGAGGAGGAGGAGGAGGAGGTGGTGGTGGTGGTGGTGGTGGGGGGAGGTGGTGGAGGTGGAGGCTGAAGCAGAGCAAGAGGCGGCCTCGGTGGGGCGGCTCAGCGGCGCGGCGCGCGGCCCAGAAGCTTTGAAATCCTGAATTGGTACAGCTGCGCCTGAAGACAGCAGGAGTGGCGGGGCCGCCGCCGTCGCCGGAGAGATGAGCCGGGAAGCCTGAGGCCGGAGACGCCCGCCCTCGGGCCCGTCCGCCCGGCTTCCCAGCTCCGGGTGAGGACGCCCCTTCCCCTCCCCCCAGTCCTGCCTCGGCCTCTCTCGTTTCTGTATCTCATTCCCACCTAACTAGGGTCCAGGAGGCCCTCGAAGAGGCTTCCTAATCATAAGGCCCATGCTCGCGGGGCTTGCCGAGCCTGTAGGACCATACCGGTGCTGGGACGCATTCTAGTCTCCCGGGACTAAGCGTGAGAGGGGGCTGGGCCAGCCTGTCTCGCGCGGCGCAGTTGTCCCAGCGCCTTCATTCACCTGGATGAGCCTGGAGTCAGTTTCCTTTCAGTTTTCTTCAAAATTCGTACCTCTTATGAAATTGTACTCCCTGCCTTGCTATCCCCATTCCCTCCTGAGACGCCCTGAGCATGCCCACAGCTCCCATTCATTCCAGGATGGTAGAGAACTCTCTTCCCACTTTAAACCACGGTTTCCATCTGAAAGTTTTGTCCACCGCAGATACTGAGTCCGTAAAGACGCGCTGAGCTGTGTCCCTTATTAGGCTCTCAATTAGGATAGCCCTGGTGGCACTAAATAGAGAAAACAGAACTTGTAAATACTGGGTTTAACTTGGGGACCTGAAGGAAAAGATCCCTGAGGCCTGCTGCTTAGCCATTCTTCCTTGTCTTTTTCTGGGCAGGGGAGAGATGATGACATGGACTGTAGAGTGCAGCGAGCCCCTTATTTTAAGTTTTTTAACCCCCTTCATTAGTAATTTGCATATGGCTTTAGGGGAGAAATACTGAAGAAGAGACAGGATAATTGGATTCTGATACTCTAAACTTGTTTTACAGGCGACTGGAAGATGAAAGAGACTTTACAAGGGACGGGGTCTTGGGGGCCTGAGCCTTCTGGACCTGGTATAGCTCCAGTTTACTCAAGCCCCAGACGAGAACGACTTCGATGGCCCCCACCACCCAAGCCCCGACTCAAATCTGGTGGAGGTTTTGGGCCAGATCCTGGGTCAGGGACCACAGTTCCAGCCAGACGCCTCCCTGTCCCTCGGCCCTCTTTTGATGCTTCAGTTAGTGAAGAGGAGGAAGAAGAGGAGGAGGAGGAGGATGAAGATGAGGAAGAGGAAGTGGCAGCTTGGAGGCTACCTCCCAGATGGGGTCAGCTAGGGACCTCCCAGCGGTCTCGCCCACCTCGTCCTATTCATCGAAAAGCCTGTTCACAGCGCCGCCGCAGAGCTATGAGAGCCTTCCGAATGCTGCTCTATTCAAAAAGCACCTCGCTGACATTCCACTGGAAGCTTTGGGGGCGCCACCGGGGCCGGCGGCGCGGCCTTGCACACCCCAAGAACCATCTTTCACCCCAGGAAGGGGGTGTGACACCACAGGTGCCATCCCCATGTTGTCGTTTTGACTCCCCTCGGGGGCCACCTCCGCCCCGGCTGGGTCTGCTAGGTGCTCTCATGGCTGAGGATGGGGTGAGAGGGTCTCCACCAGTGCCCTCTGGGCCCCCCATGGAGGAAGATGGATTAAGATGGACTCCAAAGTCTCCTCTGGACACTGATTCGGGTAAGATGGTAAGGGAGCACAGGAGGGGCTGGAGGGCAAAGATCCTGGAGGATCAGAAGCTTCTCTCTGAGGTGTGAACTGGCCCTGAGAAATGTAGAATCACAGAGTTGGGAGAAGGGGGAGCAGAATAACTATGAAATGTCTCATTTTTTAAAGATTTATTTATGCATACTAGAACTGAGGTGCAGGGGGTAAGAGGGTTCACTAGAGACGGTGGGGAGCAGAACAGCCAGATTGACTGAAATACACTGCTGAGGGGAGCAGCGGGCAAGACAGGAGAGGTCTGCTGTGTCCTGTGGGTCACCTTGCTGGCTGGGGATTGAACTCATGGTGCAGTGGCTGCCAATAGCTTCATAGTGCTGCGCTTTAACCCATTTCTGCTCGCAGGGACAGCCCACCTATGAAATATTTAAAACTCTACTTTGAGCAGGGATTAAACCTCAGAAGTCAAGGCAGGGGCATAGCATCCATAAAGAGGTATCCTATGTAAAGATGAGAAAGGGGGCTTCCCTGGTTGTGCAGGGAAGACCATGCTATCAAGCTATTGGCAGCCACTGCAGCACAAGTTGGATCCCCAGCCAGCCAGGGAACTGACCTGCAGGGTACAGCAGACCTCTTATGTCTCACCTGCTGCTTCCCTTAGCAGTACATTTTAGTCAGTCTGCAGTTTAGTCATCCTCATCAGCAATGTGTGTTTTGCTCCCCGCTCTGTCTGGTGAATCCTCTCACTACCCCCCACGCGCGTCAGGGCTGCATGCCAGCTCTTGTATGCATAAATAAATCTTAAAAAAAAAATGATAAAGGAAGATATGACTTAGAAACAATCAGTTTTGTTCACTTGAAATTCCTCTTTGGCCTCAGGATAAGAGGCTCTGTGTGCACATCTCCAGAGAGTGCCATTCTTAGTGTTGGACCGTAGTACAGTGAGTGGTGGAGTACAGCACCTTTGTGATTGTAACAGTCTCACTTAGGATGTTTCTCTTGCAGAGAACCCCAACTATATTTTAGGCTTTTTATGACTGTACTTTGAATATTTACTGAGCCTTTGGTGATAAGCCAGGTACTGTGGTAGGTGCTAGGCATATGGCGGTGACAGGTATCTCTGAAATTTACCTCTCTAAAAACTGTTTTTGCTTTCTTCTTGTCTGAGTAGGAATGTTTCCTTTATGTCCCTTTATAACCTCTTGGACATGCTTATCTCATGTCTTGCTCTTCAGCATTTAAATCGGTAGATTCTGCTCAACTCACTCTTCATGCTTTTAATTTGTGTGCATCATATGGTCCTCCCATAGCCAATTTCTCACCTCCATGCCCTGTTTCTCCTGCCAACAGGCCTTCTCTCGTGTACTCTTCCCAATGGCTTTGGGGGACCACCTGGTCCTGAAGGGGAGCGGAGTCTGGCACCCCCTGATGCCAGCATCCTCATCAGCAATGTGTGTAGCATCGGGGACCATGTGGCCCAGGAACTTTTTCAAGGCTCAGATTTGGGCACTACAGAGGAGGCAGAGCGGCCTGGGGAGAAAGCAGGCCAGCACAGCCCCCTGCGGGAGGAACATGTGACCTGTGTGCAGAGTAAGGAACCTAGAAGCCCTGGTCTCTTACAGCTGATCCTTAGATCAGAGTCTGGAGGCCTCACCTGACTCCTTTCTCTTCCCACTTAGGCATTTTGGATGAATTTCTTCAAACTTATGGCAGCCTCATTCCCCTCAGCACTGATGAGGTAGTAGAGAAATTGGAGGACATTTTCCAGCAGGAGTTCTCTACGCCTTCCAGGTGAGGTGTGAAAGAGGTGCCCTTCAAAAGAGGACTGGCAACTGGGGGATGGGAAGAGAATGCTGCTGCCTTTTTTCCCATAGGGATGTACTTGGGGAGAAGGAGGAAGCTAGAGCGGAAGGGGAGGAGTCTGCAAGGCAAGGTGCCAACACCCCCTGTAAGCTGACTGGGTGGGTCTTCACCTGGGACCCTGAAATACTATGTGTACCTGAGTATTCATGTGTCTCTTTTCGGGGAGTTGGCCACTAGTAGATCCACAAAAGGACCACAACCAAAAAACACCCCAAAACAAAACAAAAAAATGGGTCAGTTTAGACTCTTACCTTAGGTAGTAGATGGTGCTTCTGTGTGCCCCAGCCCCCCTCGTCTCTTGTGTGACTCCCTTCTTGTCTACCCAGGAAGGGCCTGGTGCTGCAGCTGATCCAGTCATACCAACGGATGCCAGGCAATGCCATGGTGAGGGGTTTCCGAGTGGCCTATAAGCGGCATGTGCTGACCATGGATGACTTGGGGACCTTGTATGGACAGAACTGGCTCAATGACCAGGTAAGAAGGGGCAGAGAAACAGGCCCAAAAGGGGATTCAGGGACCCGGGTGTCTGGGGCCCTCTGCATGGGGGAGCCCTGTACCCATGCCGCACCCTCCATGGCAAGTTGCCCCCAATCTTCTCTGCAGGTGATGAACATGTATGGAGACCTGGTCATGGACACGGTCCCTGAAAAGGTAGGCCCAACCAGTACTTCAGTCCCTAGAAGAACTTCTGCAACACTAAGCAGCTTTTTCAGTTCTTTTCATCTCTTCCGTTTTACATAAAATGGATCTCTGTTTTTGGC